TTGTCACTCCCATCACGTGGTGGACTTACCAACACCTTCAGGAGCTTCACCGTCTCCCTTGGGGCCTCAGAAGAAACATCAAAAGAAAACCAGTCCTAGTCTCTTCCCAATTCAACCTACCGGTCCACACTCCCCATGCTGCTGGAGCTCCGATGGTTTGAAGGGACCATTGAGAGTCAAACCGAGGATCATTTGGGAAGACAGGCTCGACGTCAAGAGTTGGAGTTGCACGCAAGAACGCATTCTGCAAAGTTGTCTGGAACCCTTGATCACGAAATCGCTGCAGCAATCTTCCCATATCGTGCTCTTCCGATCCAAGAACAGAATCGTCGTCTACAAGTCAACAAATAGAACAACTATCAAGAAATCGCAGCAGATGACGCATAAGTCATTAGAGATATAGATTTAGTGGAGATGTAATGCAAGTTGATCCCCTCACGAATCGCATCCTCGGACTCCAACTGGCGCACAAGACTCTTAATAACTTCTGCTTCGGTCGTTTCATCGAGATCTTCTAAAAGTTCGTTAATCTTCTCATCTTCATGACTTTCTAATGACGCATCTGGACTTCCAATGTTCAGCCTGTTGTCAATGGGATGGTCGATGGGAGTCTCAGCAAACGATACACAAGGCATTGCTGCAGCCAGTTTCGCGGCATCAGATGCATTTGCAACTAATGAGACGCGGTCCATTTGAATGTGGCGAAACCAATGAGTCTCGAGAAGTGGAGCGTCATCCGGAAGTTGGAAATCTGAAGCTTCGTTCTGCTGGATTGTTGCATCTTTTTGATAGTAGACAACGTCGTGCTCAAACAAGGGGTACTGCAGTTGCGTTGTTCGGACTGTGAGCGAGTTGACAGATTCCTGATCTTCTACAGATTGAATCGTGGATGACTCTTCTTTATCCGCTAGAATTTGGTCCAAAATCAACGGAAGAACAACATCCCGTACGTCTTTGCGAGGGACAGATTTGACCGAATTTTGAAATTCCTGTTGAAGTTCAACTTTTTGATTTCCATGAGCGTCTGCTAAGGATTCTGCCAATTGACGTCGTTTAGCGCTCGAAGTTTCGATTTCGCCAAAACCAAGCAACCGATCGAGGGCGCGGGTTGAATCCTCCGCGAAGCAACGGAACGCTGTTTTGAAGGAGCTCGATTGTGAGCTGAGTCGTCGTCTCTGTTCGATTCGCTCGATAGAAAGAGAAGCGATGTGCTGATGGCATAGATCATCTCCAGTATCGTATGCTATGTAGAGTTCTTCCTGGGAATCAGGACGGGATTGGGACACGACAGTTGCTGGGGGGGAGCCGTTGCGTATGAATTGATCTTCTTGTATTGATGGGGAAAACTGATGGGGTTGGAAAATGAATAATGTCAGTATGACTCCGCAAATCGTGCTGAAAAATACGATTGTATACACAAATGGAGTCCACATATAAAAAACAGTAAAGGTCTCAATCTGAATGTTTTCAGTTGAGGGTTTTCATGCGATACAAAAAAAGCGCGCTCTATTCATTTAACCGAGTCGTCGGTACATTTTCTGCATGTTATTCTCATTCTTTGGATTTGTGTTGATGACAATATTATTCCACTTTTGATTAAATTTATACATCCTCAAAGATTGAATTCGAGCACCGATGAGCCGCGCCAAAGATTCTGAGCAATGGATTTTTCGCATCGCCTACAGAAAACCAAGAATAACCCCCACCCCATTGTGTTTGACGACCCCCACCCCATTGTGTTTGACGAACCGTAGCTATTTGAAGGCAATCCTTCTCTTCAAAGAATGGGATCCGCTTCTCAATTTCTGTGACGAATGGTTTCACCCAACCAAAGTAATTTGAGGTCAGGCAGGCAAGCGAGTTGAACATAGAAGCTAAAGCCGCAGGCTCCGCCCTGATTAGACAGAATGGAAGACGCGTAGAGCTTTATTCTGTGGAGGATCTCTGCAAACCTGGAGACGAGGTCCGCTGCTACCTTTGCAATACGGATAGAAAGCGGTGCCTGCTCTTCAAGGGAGTCTGTCATCCAGCGAGGTGGAGAGTATTTCGTAATAGTCGTTTCCATATCTGTTGGGCGGCGATGTGGATCCATCACCGCTTGTTTCGTTTGAATTGAGAACCATCGACACATCTCGACCAAAAAGTCAGCATCATGCTGTTGGAAGCCTCTATAGGACGAAAAATATCTGCAGGAAGGAGATGTTGACGAGAAACATTGATTGATTGTGGAACTCACACGAGTGTCATCAGCTGCATCAGGCGTTCAACATCGTCTTGCGTCAGTCGATAAGGCGCAGGCGTCTGATTAGCGGTACTGAGAGGGGGCAACAGAGACCCAATGGCAATCATCTGGAAAGACATGAACATGCGCAATATAACAAACGCTTGGTTCTTACGTCATCACGTGTGATGAATTTAAGATTAGCTTCTACAATGTTCTTATGCTGTCTGAGAAAAAACATCCAAATTTCCTGCAATGTGGAAGTCGATGGCGAGGAGTTAGACGCGGGCAATCGTATCGGCATATTCCCAATCGGGCTTCCAACCTAAAGAACAAAACGTTCCAGCCATAACTCAAATGGAATCATTGGATTCTATTAAGCAATCAATGAGACGGATTGATGAAACTGTAACCTCACATCTCGAGCAGCCTTTATCAAGACCGCCATTTCTTGTAAAAGGTAGGAAGATTGGCGCCAGCGGAGAAGAGCTTGTAACCCCGTGTTCATCTGACCTAGGTCCCTTCTCTGACGACTTCTACTGGTTTTCGGCGATTCGGCATCTTCATCGTCATTCCTACCCCGTACGGTGTCTACATCAGCGTCATGAAGCGCATCAGCATTGATGTTTTTTGGAGCTTTCTGAAAACAGTCATAATCGTCTCAAGGATGCTTGTATGTGATTTACCTCTTGATTGAAAGAAACTGCACCGCTTGTAAATTGCTTGGTGCATTTATGAAGGCGGTCTTTCAGATTTTGGTATCTCGTGAAAGATTCTCTTGCGATTTGTTTTTCCTCAGAATCGAGCGTCAAACTCGTAAGGCATGCTCGGTTCATCCCTTCTTCTTCTTCTTGCCGCATCAGAAAAATGCGTCGCATTCTTAACCGAGTCTCTTCAGGAAGTCCGCACGAAACGGCATCTCCAAGAATCTGGCTCCACAGATGCAGCTCCATCTGAAGTTGGCCTTGAAGTTCGATCCCTATTGTCTTGAAGAAGGTCAAATGATTGTAACCGACGCGAGCATAGATTTGAGCCAGTTGCGTTTTAATTTTGGGTGAGAGTTGGCCCAAAGCCAAAGCGCGATGAAGGGGCCTGAAGGAAAAACGCATTATTAGCAGCTAATGGAATCTGAAGCAAAACACGCAAGGTGTAACATCTATCACTAGGTGTGGAGTGTGACCTGGTTAGCACAAGCATTGCATTGGGGGTGAGCTTGATGCATCGATGCAAGTAATCAAGATGGAGGAACCAATTTTCTGGGTATTCAAACTGGAAGTCTCCAGTGAGATGCCGAGAAAGGAGCAATTCGGCAACCCGGGTGTCAAACAATTTGGCTTCAAACAAGCATTTCATAAAGCGCGAGTTCGATGTTGCTGCGAGTAAAACGTTTCCTTCGGTCCCCAGATAGCACATTGCCTTCAAGTGCGTCTTAGGATGCACCCCGTTCTTCTGCATGTCAACAAACAGATTTAACAATTGGGTCATGTTGTACGGCTTCTGCAAGGCGTCCATTAAGATAAGATGATTAGAATCTAAGAGCGCCGACCACAACACATCTTCTCTTATACTTGGATGATACAGCAAAAGTCTTCTCTCCTTCGTCGCCGAGGAATAATATTTATCCGCAATACGCCCTTGCTGTTGACGAATCAGATTTCCCATTAAAACCAATTCACTGAATTTCTTGAAAGAGGGTCTATGTTCAATAACGAGACCTTTAAATATTTCCCACGACCCTTTCTGTCGTACTTGCGGTGGTTCGTCCTCTTTACCTTTTTCTCGTACTTGCGGTGGTTCGTCCTTTTTACCTTTTGTCACCGACACAGGCTCAACTAATGCTCTATTGATAGCATTCTTCATTGCACGCCACACATCCGCCGTGATGGGCTTGCCCTCCCGCCGCTTGCCCTCCCGCCGCTTTCCATCCCCCTGACTTCTAGACTCGGCTTGATACTCCATTGTCCCATGTAGAAAGCTTTTCAACATGTGGCGTCTGACTTCCTCCTTCTCCAATTTTGTTGGAGGGCGAGCAGGACCGATTCGAGTAGGCTTTTCTTCTTCATTGCTTCGGACTCTTCTCAAACATTCGGGTTTGTTTTCAACCGGGGGGCCCGGCAACGAACGGGGTAGAAACTTGCGTCGTTTATTTGACTGAAGTTGGAGTTCCGCCTTCCACGAATCCTGTCTTAACCGATTCTCCAATTCCCATATCTGCTTCTCAACTTCACAATCCTTTTCAGAATTCCCTGTTCTCCTCGCAGCGGTGGCGCAATGTCTGGTTTGACAGAACGTAAGAGTTTTCGTCAAGTGACTCCGAGGGACAACAGAGAAAAGTGTTCCTGACATCCAGTCTGGTCCACTTCGGTGAAGGTCATCGTTTCAAGCCCATATCAATCGAGGTGCGACTTTTAAGTTCAAGCAAATTCACGAAGTTCGGCTTTCTCAGTGCAATGAATATGGGCGGCAGTTCTCTATCTCGGATTCTTTCTTAAGTTGCAGACCTGTTCGATCTGGTGAACCAGCATAAAGAACTGAACACATTATGCCAGCAACAGCTGGGCGTGTCCGAATGCCTGCCGATAATCGGTATGTGTTTCTCTCTCCTTTAATTTCTATGACGTTGACTTGGCAGGCTGAGCGTTTCGGACTCCCTCCGAACAACTGAAATCTGGGTATGTTTGTCCTTCAATCTGCACTTTACCGTGTGTTTGATTCTTTGTAGCAAAAATCTGTGGGATATGATCCGTACGCCCCAACCCAGCCGGGTGAGCATTCGGGCATGAACGAGCAGATAGAAGAGAAGGCAAGGGGTCTCTTTGCATTGGCGAGACTCACAGGGAGCTCTTCTTCCACAACCCCTGGTGCCTGCCGAAAGTGTGGCCAAGGTAAGATCGCTATTATAGCAGGTACAGAAGAAGTTTGTTTTCTTTTTAATGTTCATTTGCTTCTCAGTTGGGCATTTGCCGTTTCAATGTCGCAACTATCTTTCCCTCAATGACTCCTCAACAACCAGTAAGAAACCCTCAACGCTAGGATTGCTTCTTGAAGGCAAAACAGAGAAGTGGCACAAGAACGTGAGAAAGCGCGTTTCTAATCTTGAATATTTTATAAAAGATTGTTGATCAGAAATCTTCGAGAAGGCACAAAGAAAAACGTTCACATCGTCGATCGCCTAGTGATGACTCCTCATCAGAAGATCGTAAGCGACGCTAGCAGCTGTTCTCGTTCAATTGATGGAAATCCTCTGCCGCGCCTGTTTTGTGATGATTCCTCAACGTTTTTCAGAAGATCGCAAGCGACGACGTAAGAGACAAAAAAGAAGTCCATCAAGAGATTCATCTCCCAGCGATAGAGGAAGAAGAAGGAAAGAACAGATAGAGCATTCTATAAGAGAAGAGAGACGAAGACATCGTAGTAGATCAGTGGAATCCGATAGAAGGCAAGAGGGCCGTCACCGAAAAAGAGAACGCTTCCATGAAAATCGATGATGAGAAGAAATAAAAACTTGAACCACCAGCGAAGTTGCAAATTGTAATCAGAGAGTTGCACGGTGCGGTTCGACGTTTTTGCCTCCCATAGACCACCTTGTCGTTGGTTGAGTCTCGTACCGCCAAGTCACTCGATTTTATAGTTTCATGCTGATTTTTGAGAAGAACGGGCGACTCCCAAAATCACGAAAGCTGAAAACACCTGTAGCCATCGTCAAACTGCGTGACACACAAAATGTGGACACCAATTTGAGGAAGACAGTTGTGTCGAAGAAGCACAAGCAGACGGAAATCTTGAGGAGCCGTTCGAAGGAGTTGCAATGGATGAAAGGTTGCGTGCACTTAGTTGCAAACTGCACAAGATTCTTGTCCGTGTGTCTCAACAGCGTGCCTCATGTTACTATATGCAGTATTCAGGCAATCGAAACAGTTCGCCAGCTCTTGATACCTTGACGTAGCCTTCATGCCCATCCTTACCCCCATCAATTCCTTCATGTCCCAATTCCCTTTTTTTGAACCAGTGATGTCTTGGGCGTCACTCTTCCCGATTCCTCCATTGTTATATTACATATTTGCTTCATCATTATTTATTTCACTCTTATTTATGATGTATGTGTTCCAAGCACTGAAGAGAGTTTTTTGCTATCTTGTCATTGTGATTGGAGGAACAACCGTGATCATTCTCTGTTACATTGCACATGTGTTCATCCCACCTATCTGCGAAGCACTTTACACTTACGTAACAATACTCTTCGCAAACACCCATAGTAGTTTCCACCAACAAGCACTCGAACTAGCAAGCCGCATCGTCGAAATCACACCTCCCACCTGCGAGCACTACTCCGGCCTTCACCTTATTTTCCTCTTTCGGGATCATTGCCACAGTGGCCTTACTGTGTACGGAACCTCCCAATGGAGGTTAGTTTAGGGCTTTTGGTTCTGGAGGTGATTGCGACATAATACGAATGTCCGGGTACCGAAGAGTTGACAATAGCGTATATTAAAGTTGTTGCAGTTAAAACGCTCGCAGTTGAAATTGTGCAAATGCAAACGGGTTGCGATGAGTGGCGGATGTTTAAAAACTCGGAGTGGAGGTTCTAGACCAAAAAAAAAGGAGGAAAACCCCGTAAAAAACAAATGGTCAATTGGGACAGAGCGGATCTAATAAACAAACACCATGCAATGTATGCATGCAGTCTATCGACAAACCTGTCAGGTTTCAGTTACACATTAAATATTTCAGACCGGATGAAGAGTGTATTGGCCCGGCAAGCCTTATGAGCTCTTTCGTGAACCCCTTGGGACGACGCCAACAACACGAAATTATTGAAATGCCACCGGAGCCGAAGCCAAACCCACACGTCATTATTGAAATACAACCAACGACATGGAAGAAAATGTCGAAGCCGAAGAAGAAATCGAATCAGTTTTCATTGGGGTCTCCACTAACATCAAGGCCAGAACCGGCCTCATTGCTCTCTCGTCCGATCCCTCCAAAGACAACCAGAAAAGAAGAAGGCACTACGAAGCCTTCAGCCCTTCGTTGGCTCTTTCAACCAAATTGTTGCCAACCACGAATCCAAAGCCGATCGCCGACAACGAATCAAAGGCCAACAACGAATCAAATGCCGAATCAAACACTTAAGAATCGTATTCAGATGGTCTTGTTTAAACTTTCACGTCCAAATTTATTTTCAGGTTCAAGTTTTTCATGTTGATGATGTCTTGTCCCTGCGATCGAAACAACTAATAGTTGTATGGTGTGGTGGTTAGCACCCTAGACTCTGAATAGTACATTTCTGTTCTTTGAATTTTCATAATGTCTGCGACCCACAGGTCAAACCAATAGAAACGACTCAAAGTGTACAAAATACAACATTCTCTGCACACCACATTAAAAAATGAATTCGTCAGACACAATTATGGAACATCGATCAAAAATTCGGAATCAAACCTTCGACCCTGAGATTAGCATCCGACTTTCCTTCTTTGAACACCATCGGTTTTCAAGTATTATGTGATTCATTCCTTTCTCCTATATGAGCAATCCAATCCTTCCGCTGACCAATGTGCTGGCTATAATGGAGTACATGATTCAAAACTCGGCCAGTCGATCCATCAACTGTCCGTGTCGCAATAACAAGACCGTCACGAATTTCAACAATATCAACTTCACGTGGATCCATCGGGCCAATGAGTGACAAAACAACAGGCATGAGAACAATTCCATGGATAAAAGCAAATGCCATGACCAAAGTTGTCATTCGGAACACAACGACCAACGCATATTTGTGCGAGAACGAGAGGACTCCAACTGCGGCGTACGTCGACACCATTCCCTCGGTCACTGGCAGTCCCATCAGTAGAAGCGTTTCAATCACTCGACGATCACGCGTTCTCCCTTTACAATGATTGAAGCAATGGGTGATGTGGGCAGTGTAATCAACGGCAAATCCGATCGAGAGAACGAGATTCACCATCGTGAGCATATTGAGATTGAGATTCCAAACTGGCATGAATGCGTAGACATCAAGATCAATCATGATGATGACTAATAAAACAAGAAGGCCACTCCGAAAATCAGGAATCAAGAAGGATGCACAAATTCCCATACTGAGAAGGGCGACCGCCATGTTTGTAACAGTCGACATCAATATGACGGGATCACTTTCCCACATGACAGCAAGAGGGGTGAAGACATAACCATTGAATAGATGAGAAGCGTTCTTCAGAAGTTGTTGAACATCTTGGAACCAATGAATCGCAACTAATGTGTTATCTTGAAATCTCATCCTATTAAAAAGAAATAGTGAACAAAAGAAATCGTGAAGAGCGTCAGAAACTTCTCACCAGTAATAGAACTTCCATGAGGTTAGAATTCCATCTTCAACTGTGAACATCGGCGCATAAATCATTCCACGTGGAGTTTTCATGAATTCATCAAAATACGTCATAAATTTTTCCTTTCTCTTGAATTCGGGTTCATTCATCTGAACGCCAAGACCGCCTTCTGTTTTGCTTCTCGTATCGATGAAATTCAACAAGTCTTCAAATCCGTTTAATACAAAAACGACAGAAGGGAGATTACGGATCGATTCGGTCAGATTCCGAACTCCATGTTGAATGTCAGAGTCCCACCATTCTCCGCCATCTGGAAAGAATACGACACACTCATCGCCATACGCAGCGAAATATTTTTCTCGAATGTCGTAGAAATCTCTGAGATACGATTTGAACGGAGTAATGTCCCGCACTTTTAGTCCGGCCTCGACTGTGGTGGCGTTATAAGTTGTGAAACAAAGAAGACCCAAGAATCCAAGAATCACAACAGCTTTGACGATTGGCTGCAACAAAAACGGACCGTAGTAATGCATGAAGAAAGAACGGGGCCATTTTCCGACAGTTCCGTCGGGTTCATGGAAGTTGATCGCTTCGATGGGGATCAGTTGCTGTTGGACTTGAACAAGACGGGGAATTGTTGTTAAATCAAACACGGATTGTTCACTCTTGAGGTCTTCATCATCAGCCTCTCGGATTGGTGGACTCGTGCAAACGTGATTCGGTGTCATGGAGGCTGAGATCGTATCATCATCTTCTAACCAAATGAATTGAACACTCTTTGATGTCATTGGTTCACTTCTGTCATCATCAGAGGTGCCAAGATTCTGAGCAAACGTCACTCTCTGCATTTCAACACCGTCATCTTTTTGTTTCTTCTTTTTCTTTTTTTCGCACATTTCTGCAACACGCTCAGCGACAACAAGATGACCGTCAAGCTCTTCTACTGCGAAAAATCCCGATGTGGTTCCGAATGGTCCAAGAGACAATCCGGCCCGCGAGGATGCACGTGACACATCAGTACGGAGGCCGCAACTCTGAAGGGGCAGACAAACCCTCATGGACACCTCTTCTTCAAGAACGGATGTTTGCTGCTGGAATTCGCGAGTTTGAGCCTTATTGTTGTCAAATCGCTTTTCAAGGACGTCTTGTAGGAGTCGATCAGATGCTGCCGAATGATCACTTCTACTCTGTGGCGATGAGAGGGTTGGGGTGTGGGGTCGAGTGGACAAGACTGTTGGATCCCCGCCGCTTGATGGACTCAATTGATTCGAATCAGCACACGACATTTTCGAAGACGTTATCGTTGAAGGTTCGTCCATGGGAAATCCTTTTTTCGGAGTTCGGTCCGCCAACATCGTCATCCCTGGTTTCAACCGCTTTTCCGAAACTTCTGTTTCAACAACCCGCTCTGGACCAGAATCGGCGGTTTCGAGTCTTGCTGCGTCATCACTTTCGAAAAGTCGCTTGTCGGATGTTATCGGTTTGTCGTTGTCCCACAGCGGGACTGATCGGTATTTCTGTTCGGCTTTAGCGTTGATGGAAAGCACTGCTGCAAAGAGAGTCAAAGCAAGAACATATCCAGCAAGAAGTCCCGTAGCAGTGACGATACAGAAGACACGAATCGAGTAATAAACGGATGTTGCACCAACAGCAAACGCGAGAATGTTTGTTACAGTTGTTAGAGTGATAGAAATTCCGGCATCGCGAAATGTTAAACCCAGACGTGTCCTTGAATTCTGACTGTGAAGATACGTCAGCGTATACGCATTTGAGAGAACAAAGATGTCATCTACACCGATACCCAATAAGATGAACGGAGTACTTTCTGATGGAGGGGACATGCTTGAATCCCAGAATGTGACAAAATCCTACTCCGCCACCGTAAGCCATCAATGTTGAAATAACGCCAATGGATGCTGGAAGCCATTTTGATCGATACCGATCCAAAGATGAATTCATAGAAACCGTAAAGACAAAGACAAATACAGCAGCAAAAATTAACATCGCCAAATCCTCCCCTCTTAATTGACATGATTGGGCCAATTCATCCGAAAGACTTCGTTCAACACGAACATAGAGTTTCAAATCAGGCAGTTTCATGTGTTGGATCACAACGATGAGCGCTTGTTCCCAAGCAGATGATTCAATCACACGATCAGGATTTCCGTTTAAATCCAACCGAAATGCAGCAGCAGTTGCGTTGTGAACCATCGTCGTTGATCCTCGCACTTCTGTAACAACTCCTCCCAGCAACAATCAATCCGATAAGCTGTGGCTGTTTTAAAATTGATCAGTGTCGGATATCTGCTGGTTCTCAGGGGTTTGCCATACTGCGCTGCACTTGAGTAGAGCTCCAATGGATTCACAACTTTGCATTTTCCATCAGGGTCCTGAATGCAAACGTCTTCCAAGCGAATGAAACTCTCCCGATCTTCTTCTGTTCGTTCCGCAATCTTCCCCTCATTTTTCGTCACGATGTATTCAGGATCGAATCGAAGAATCTCGGGATCATTTTCGAGAAGCCAATCACGCATCACAGTGATCTCACCTGGAGAACAAACAATGAACAAACAATTGAAAACAAAATAGTAAATAGAGTGAACAGAGCGTTACAAACAATTAACAATTCACAAGATGGTGAATACCATAAAATACTGAATACAGTGAATAGAGGGTGAAGACAATTAACATCATACGGAAGATTTGACCCAAATCGTCATGGAGCGTGAAAGAGTGAATAGAGTGCGTTACCTGGAACCGAAGCTTCAAGAACAAGAGATTGCGGTATTTTCAGCTTCATAACTTTCTTCCAAAATTGTTCAAGATGTTGCAAATGCGATTCACTCAATAATTCTCCTTCATTGATGGAGGAAGCAAATATATATTCAATTCTTTCGATCGGAAAAAACGCGATTCAATTCAATTTTGGCCTAAAATGAAAGAAAATCAAATTAAAAGAAGGAAACTTCTTCATAAGAGACAATCATCGATACAAACTGATACGTTTCCACCGTCTATCAAGTCTCGCAAAGTCTATCAAGTTTCCACCGCCTACTAAGTCAGTCTTCCCTCACCGTTGCACTTGGAGATACCGGAAGGCTGTAGAGTTTCTCCATATCAAGTTCAGGTGTTCGTCGAAGAAAGCCAAAAGAGAACAATAAGCAAAGGACCGTTGGAATGATGATGAAACGATAGGAATGGTCGTAAACATAATGTCCTAAAGACTCAAAGAGATCCTCGAATCTTTCAATGAACCACAACTTCGTCTTTATAAATGGCGAAAAGAAACTTCTTAGGCGGCACCGCCCTGTGCGAGATTCGCCGCACCTAATCGGACGTTTTTTCGGGAGGGAGTCACACATTGCAAGCCGTCGCTTACCTTAAGACCTGAACCCTTTTGCTGTTCTTGGTTGTTACTTCATTAACTGTTGAAAGGGAACCTTCATTGTTGGTTGTTACGGATTGCGACGCCATTATGTGGATGAAAAAATTAACTTATCAAAACAAACTTATTGTATCAAAACAAATTCTATAATTTGAAGATGATGAAAATGAATCAGGATTTTTCTCCTAGATGCAAAATTGATAACAAACAAATGCTCAAGATGAAAGAAAACTAATTAAAGCACAAGATAGAAGACAAGTTAATGAGCCAAAACAAATTAGAAGACAAAATTTTACAGACGAATTCTAGAGATATAATATGATGGTAGATATTGCACACGTCTCATATAAGCGCGCCGAATGCAATCTGCATACACAGATACTTAAAAGGCAACAGTCCTCTAAAAAGCGGACAGCGATTTTGTCAGTTTTAAAATGGCAGCTGATCCTTGTTGGTTGTGTAAATATTTAAACATTGGCCAAGTATGTCGAGATTGAACAAAGTGTTGATTTTAATTTGTTTCTTCAGGAACCTGCATTGGAGCATGCGCAACCACGATGGTGGGAACAGCTCGATGGCCCCAAATCGCACCGTCGCCGTCGTCTTGTGAGTGGATCATCAAATTCGTTGTCGGCTGAGAAAAAAGGAACCACAAATTCTCCCCAAAATTCAGACCAGCGATCCAAACACCACTCACGACGCTCTGAACGTCGGAATAATATTCAGCGATGAGCCCATAAATATTTTTGATTTTATTCAACTTAGTTCGCTTTTTTTACTTCGTAGAGGTCCTTTAGAATGATTTAGTTAGAGATCAAAGAAAACAAAGAAAACTTCTAGGGCTCATCTTCAACTTTCTTCTTGGGTTGTTTCGCTGATGGCAAACGAGCACCTAAAATCTTGTTTAATCGGGAAACCAAGGCACCATTAGGAATTGCCTAAAAGACATCCCACATAATTGAAAATTTCAATCCCATATCTCACCTTTCCGCTTTCATAGTCATTAATAACGCTGGCCTTCTCGTTCACTTGCTGAGCGAGTTGAGCTTGCGTCATCTTCTTCTCTAGTCGTGCTTGTTGCAATGCTTTAGCAAAATCAAACGAAACACGATCCACGTGATAGTCACCAGTGTCTTCGTCGAGCTTTGCTGCACTGAAAAAATGAACAGAAGAATCTAACACAGTCGCTTTGTTGAATAAACTCACTTTGGTACTGGAGATTTTGTAGCTTTGTTTTGTCCTCCCATAACTGAAACACGGGACACAGCTAAACGTTAGGAACAGAATGGATGTCGTACATTTCTTGACAGTGTCTACTTGGTCGCCTCGGCGACGCGCTTGATTGATTTCCTGCTCAGAGGCAGTTCCAGTCCCTTTTTTGACTGTTTTGTTAATCACAACCGGAGTCCAATCTTGGTGGCTCATGAGATTATAACTGATTAGGTAGAGTGGAAAGTGAACCTGATGTGAGAACTGTTTTGTCAGGCTTCATGTGTGCAAGCGCTGTCGTTTGGATCTTTCTTGGTTCAGTGCTTGGGCTCTCAGCCGACGCTGCAAAATGTCACCGTTTTATGAGAAGATGTCGTTTGTTCAACAAACCTGGCGAGAAATTTCGGTGGAAGGAATTTCGTTTTTGACATTCTGACACTGAAGAAGCAGAAATAAGAACAGTGGAAGGAGGAAAAAACGCACCTGGATTTTTTGATACTGAAGAGCAAAAAAGAACAGTAAATCGTCGAACCGTCCGTCATATTCGCACTTGAACGTCACTTGAAAATAGTCTCTGATGAAGCAGCAAAACTTCATGGCAAAGACCGATGAAGATTAGTGATTCTAAGACCGTCCTCCATGTTTTCCTGTTGAACGATGTTCTCACCTGAGCAGAAAGTAAATTGCTTCCGCTGTAGAGAGAAACTCGTCCGATTTGAACTGGAACCTGAAATTGAAGAGATCAGGAGAGAAAGAGACCAGAACTCAATTCACCTCCAGAAGGAAGTCCTACGGGAAGAGAGGGAGACTTTAGGGAGGGAGACCAAGTTCGGATTGCGCAGGATTTCCTATTGAATAAAGACTTGTGTTGAATAAAAACTTGATGTCTGGTGCTTCACCACAATAGCCCAATCTGAAGCTGATTATTTGTGCATTACTTTGATTTGCAACCATGAGCAATCAATGGCAATAACATGCTTTATTTCTGACCATTCAACCTCTCGAGAATCTAGAGCGTCCTGCCATGAAGGTGAATGTGCTCCAGATATTGAAATACTTACTTCAGTAGGAAAAAGAACGACAGCATTTTTGTTGTTTATTGATTCCGCATCAAATGGAGGAATTGCCTGAAGGAATGGTGAGTAACTAAACAATGCTGTATGGATGGCCCATGAGAAAGAGACCCTCGCAAAAGCTCAACAACTTTATATTGAGTGAGAGAGCATCAACCGAAATCACTCACCGGAAAATCGTACGTCATAACGTGAGTTGGAGACAGAATTTGCAAAGGGACTGAAATAATTGTAAATTGTTGATTGATCTCACAATGGATGAGTAGGAATCATTTTCTTGCACATACCAGCAGAACTCTTGGATGGTTTCTCGCTCGGATGTTTGATTCTACAACAAAAGATTTTCATAATGACAAAGCATGTGCGTAGAATAGAGTGTTATGAGTATAGTGTACATAGACTGGATAATTGTAGTGAGAATACATGATAAATAGAGTGAAATCTAATGATAAATAGAGTGAACTGATTCCCTCACACATGGACTTTAAATGGAAGAGAAGGAATTACTGGAATGTATCTTGAATGCTCCTCATCCGTAAGAGTAATTTTTCGACATTTGAAACAAAGAAATCTAGAAAAAAATGAAATCAACAAGGATGGAGCACTTGAGTGATACCTTCGTGAGCTTCCACATGAACCACAAATTTGACGCCCTTTTATTTTTTCATCCAATTCTTTTGGGGATTTCGTAAAGTGGAGATCATTCACTATGAGTTGTTTGTTATTTTCCATAGCTGTCAGGACCAGATTTTACATCATTCAGTGAAAAAACCAAGAAGTTTGAAAAATTAATTATTTACGTATATTACACCCGAATAGCGTAGCCTCTTCCGTCCTCCCTACAAACAAAAAACTTATAAACCAAGGGGTTCTTCATATTTTTCTGGTACCTCCGCAAAATCCAGTCCACTGGAGACTTTGACAAAAGCTTCATGGACAGTAATTGTTCGAGCGGCGGGAGAACTGTCCCTCTTGCAGTTCTGGGTAAGCGAAGCAATTTTTGACATTTTCCGGACATTCCGAGAATGCCACCCAGGAATCCGGAAGAAGAACACTAAGCAACAAAAATAGAAGATGTTTGAACAGAGATGATGTTCATACAGATGAACAGTCTACCTGCCACAAACAAAACGTCTGATCTGCGGCTGAGTATGAAGCAACTTGAGCGCCATTTTCAGTGAAGCCAATCGCACTGACAGCTCCTAAGAAGAGAACAGATGACGGCTATCAAAGGCTTCGGGCGGGAAAGCACCCTGGCCTGCCAGCTCAACCATTGATACCTGAATGTCCCTCTAATACACGCCATTTTGTCGCTGTTCGGAGATCGAAAATAACGACAAAGCCATCAACATTTCCAACAGCAAAACGCTGCGATGCTTGGTGGAATGTTGCCATTGGGTAAACACGAACAAGTTGAAATAAAGCAGCTGTTGCGGCTGTTAATGTATTCCTTCTGCACACGGTACACAATAGAGTACATGATGGTGAGTGGAAGTCATACCGTAGAGATGGATTCGAGGGATCTAAACATTTAACGACCGCATCAACAATATTCGATAAATATTTCAAACAAACAAGAGGATATTTAACGACCATTTGAACCAAAGACATCAACGCGTTGTTGCAAAATGTTGTCCCATTCTCGATTCTCCTGATAATTCAAGCGAATCATTGTAATAATTCGTTTTTATTCCCCCTTACTTCGCAGCACATCCTAACGCACGAATCAGGCGAACTGGATCCGCCCTCCCAACTTGTAGCAAAGCGTTTGTAGCAGCTTTTGAAAAATGTGGGATTTGAGCCACGCAGAGAATCCGATAAATCAAAACATGAATGAGTTCAATTGGGACAGCAACTGATGTTTCTGTTTCAGATGATGATGTTGTCGTTTGTCTGTTTGCTCTTGCTAGTCCAGACAGCGCTGAACCCATTGTAGTTGGAAGATGTTCGCGTCGCTTTGTCAAACACAGTGAGAGATCGGAAGAACATGAAAACGTTGCAGCGTCTGTTTTCCACAAATTCCATTCATTCATTGCGAGCGAAGAGGGATAGTCAAACAGTGCACTTCTCCAAAGAAGAGCATACCCACGGGCAAATAGATCGAGAGCATAATTGACAAGATAGACGGGGGGATCATGAAGCGCTTTATTCGCAGCATAAATGTTGCTAGACCCACACCATTCGACTAAAGACCTTGCAATCACTACAGTGACTGGCCGGGGACGGAAAGACGTCACTTGTCCTGATGAATCAATTTTATGATCAATTGTATGGATCATCAATCTGAAAACGTACCTCTTAATGAGAATGGGCGTTGCATGAAAAGCTCAGCGAGGGTTGCAACAGCGATGGTTTCAACCGTCACGAATAATGGATCATTTCCTTTACGCGTCGAATAAAGTGATCCATTGACCGAAATGCAACCTTCGCGTAGCGCAACCTTCTTCGTGTCAACTTCAACTCCTGGAGTATTTTGGGAAGCCACAAGAGCGAATGAAATTTCACGGCTGAGTCGACGATTCCCGGAAAGGGAACTTGTTGAAGCGATTAATTGGCACCACAAGGAAGCGATCGAGCGTAATGCTGGAAATCCAGGATGAAGCGCAAGAGCAGAGAATAACGGAAGGGTTGAAGAAAGAAGTGGCTTGCAATTGGTGGCGATGAGTCGAAGAAGGCTTGATCGAAAAGAAGCATTGAAGTCAGGAAGAGTGAGATGAGAACACCACGTGTCCTCCATTGCTAAATCGAAACTACAGGCAGACGTGCTTGGAGTCGAACGTCGTTTGTAGATGTCGATATCTGGTAGTTCACGAGCTCCATAGTTTGTTGATGGCGGCGGACCAGAATGTGCAGTGGACATCACACGCCACTGGAAAAAACTTTCGAATTTTCGTTGCGTTTTGTACTGATGAAGAATTTTAGCAATGTGAGAGATCAAGAGATCCAGTGATATCAACGATAGGACCAAGGTGTAACTGGAAAGTGTGTACAATTCGGCACCTGGGAGAGATGGAGACAACCATGACGTGAACGCCTCTTCATCTCGAGACAATGGAGGAGTCGACCCAACGTCTCTTCGACCTAAAAACCGATGCTGATAGAAAGGCATCCCATTGATGTCTAATTCGACTTCATAACCCAGCTTCGATGGATGGGACCGTGGAATGTCCCAATCAATGTCCGACGATGACGATCCTGCATCGCGCGGCTCAGAAAAAGGACTCGTACCATTCATATCAAAATCCTTCGCAGCACAAGATTCCGAACCCTCTTTGTTTTCATCATGCGGACAATTCCAGAAGATCGCACTGCGCGATTTTTCAAGAGTTCCGACAAAAGACTTTCCTCCTCCAACTCGAGATGTGAGACGACGCTGCAGCATCGAGTTCATCTTTCCTGTTGAAGAGAGAGTAGGATTCGGTGGTTCTGCTTCGAAGGAGCCGATCGATACAAATGGATTTGAATCATCCTCTCGCGAGTGGAGCAGCAACCTGAAAATAATAAGATGAATATTTAAGAGGAAGAACTGCGATGTGTGACGGACCGAAGTGAAGCTTTTCTTGATGCTGAAGTTTTTCTTCGTGGAAGGTGGTGGTAATCAGGAGAGAGGCTGAGTGTGACGCGGTTTGAATTGCGAGGCCGGGGTGGATGGCGTGGCTGGTGTGCCAATGCAGTGCAATAAGGATCTCGTTCTTGTCCCCCAAATCGGTGATTTGGGTTCCATGCGGTTAACAACACAAAAATGGGGAGGAGGAACAACGAGGGGGGCGTCGTATCGATTCATGTCTTCGTCTCTTAAATGAAACCGCAAGTTTTTGAAGGAGAAGGTGTCAACATGGAAGAGTCAGCTGAACCTTTCCTGCCAGGGAAATCTATCTCCTCTGCTCCTCTTGAGCGAGTCATGTTGAGAGACAAGGAAGATAGAGTGGAGAGTGTTGGATCTGGGACATAGAAAGGGGAAGAAAGATGTTTCTGGGATAGAAATAGAAGGATCTGGCGTGAGATCCAATAAACGAGGAGGAAGGGGAATTGAAAGAGCCATTGACGCTCCAACGATTGTTGTGACAAGAGGAAGGCGGGAACTGTATCCATCTAAAAGAACCTTAAGAAGAGACGCAGAGGTGGTTGGTTCAAGAGACGACA